TTGTGGGAAGGAAGCAGGAAAGGGAAGAGCAGGGAAAGGGGAAAGAAGCCTGTAGAAACTCATGCATCTGACTAAATTCCAGACTTCGTGGTCCCTCACAAGTGCTTGGGGTCTCATACCCTTTACAGCAATTTACTTTTCTTAAACTTTCACAAATCCAGGTCCTTACAACAACCCTGGAAGGAGACAGCCCATCTCACAGACCCGCACACCCAGGTCTGGGGGAGTCATGGTCCCCAAGCCTCAGATGCAAGGGGTAGGACTGCAGCAAGACCCAGGCTTCAGGTTGTCTGTCTGTCCAGTGTCTCTCCTGTGCCTGCCCCACCCCAGCCAGGCCCTCTTGGGACAGCACAAGGAACCTGGGGTCTCTGAAGCCCCACAGCTACCAAACCTGCAAACTTGTGTCGTTGCAGAGTTTGAACTTTAAATTGGGCAGGGACTGTGAAATCCCTGAAGGCAGGAGCAGGCGAGTTGTCTATGTAGCAGGGCACCAGGAGGCTGGTCCCCCTGGGCACAGCCCTGGCCCATCCCAGCACAGTGTGTCTGCTGGTAATAAACTCAGCTCTTCCCAGTTCTGCTCTCGGGTCAGCTCACCTGGCAGCCCTCGCCAGCGGCCTGCATGCACAAACGCCACCAGGCCTCCAGGTAGGAGGGAAGGAGAACCCATAGCATGTTGACTGTTCTTAAATCTTTTTAAATGTATAGAAACCAGAATCTCTGCTTGGGGAAGAGGACATCATACTAATAATATCAGCTACCACTTACTGATTCCTTACCATGGGCCAGGCTCTGTGCTAAGAGTTTTGCATGCCTCATCTCACTGGATCCTCAAAATAACCCCACAAGGAAATGCTATTCTTATCTCTGCATCACAAGTCAGGAAGACTGAGGAAACTGTTAGCGAGCCACAGGTCTGGGATGCAGGCCCTCATCAATCTGACTGCAAAGCCCACTTCCCCTGCTCTGCAGACAGCAGAGGGAGTGAAGCAGGAGCCCCAGACCCAGGCATGCCAGGGAAACTGGAACAGATGCTTTCATCTCATTGGATCACTCGCCCTTCTTTTAAAATAATTTGTGAAGCCTAGAATAAATATTGAATGGTTCATAGTAGATTTATCAGCCAATGAAATTGATATGATGGGTACCTTGAAAAGTAATCCTAGATCTATTAGGCTTCAGGGTTGGAAGTTGCTAGAAGGATGTGAGAAAATGTTTTGGAGGTTATAGAGTAGCAGAGGCCACCAAATCGAATGGTTCCGTTTCACAAAAGGAGGAATGCGGCCAAGGTCACACAGCAGAATGAGAAGAAAGGCAAGCATCAAACTCAGTTCCCTGGCTCCCGGGCCCAGTTCATGGCATCACCGTGCCTCTCAGAAGGCGTAAAACTGGGGAGTGGAACTAGACGGTTATTCTCAGAGACACTCCTGTCTCCTTCCGGGAACCTGATTTTCCAGGACGGGACAGAATATGAGACGTGGGCAGACAGATGCAGTGGTTTGCGGGGCGTAGTGTGAAAGCCGTCCCATCCACATACTCAGCAACATTCCCGGTTCTCCTCCTGCTGGGGACGTGGTAGGATCACACAGGTGGGGTTGTGTGGGCAGGGTTGTCTGTGGCACGTGGCACTCCTGGCTCAGAGCATGTAACTGCTGGTGTGAGATACTCTAGTGTGCTCTTCCCAAGCCATAGCAACTGGTGACGCCCCAGCTGGTGGAGCCAGGGTCTCTGAGGAGGACCGCATGGAATGGAGCCCCCTGAAAACCTACAATGGAGGTGTAGCATGAGAAAGAGAGAAACCTTTGTCAGGGTAAGTGACTAAAATTAGGAGGTTGTGTGTTACCGCAGCAAAACCCAGCTCATCTTAACTGAATCACAGAGGATAGGGCAGCTGCATCCTGGTCTCTCATGAGACCATCAGAGTCAAAGCTGTCAGGAGCCTGGCAGCATGCTGTTTTCTGGACACAGGCTTATTTCTTCAGGACCATTAGCCTGTGGCCTCATGTGCTGGTTCTAATTTCCACGAATGGGTTATGATGAGACAAAGTGTGAGGAAACACACTGTTCTCCTGATTTTGCTCTTCAGAAACAGCAGCTGTGACCACAGAGAGGAGACTGGCACCCCCAAAGTCCTCCTGCCAGCAGTCACAAAGGCTCACCATTCTGTCGGTGGGTATGTATTCGGAGGGGGGAGGTGGTCTCAAGGTAAAACATCTGGGATCGGGATTTTTGGCAGAATAGCAGATATCGAAAGGCAATCGCCAACACCTCTTGAGTGGCAGTGATGAGTCCCTGTGTTCGTGGCATCCTGTTGTAGACGTCATGTTGCTGGGATAGTAAATTCTATGGAGGCATCTGAGAAGGCTGCATGGAGGAGGTGTGTGTGACCTGAGCCTTGAAGGATAAGTGGAAGAGGAAGGCCACTCTAGGCTGAAGAGTATAAGAAGAGGGATGAGACAGGATTGTGCGGGGTTTGTCCAAAAATGAGGGCATCTGCAGAGGCTGGAGCAGGTAATGAATGCAAGAAGGGACATAGTAGAGGGAGTTGAGCCAGGAAGGCAGGTTGGAGCCTGATCACAAAAGCTCTCAAAGGCCTCTGCCACTCCTACTTGGTCTTCCTGTTAGAGACAAAGGTGAGGAAGGGAGAGGCAGGGTCACATTTCACCTACTGGGAAACACCCCTCATCTGTGTCCACTGTCCTAATTCCAGGTTAACATAAGTCTTTTTGTACCAACACACCCAACAAAAACCAAGTCCTTCCTTTGAATCTGAAATACTGCAGGTACAATCCAGACACATGAAATCATAACCTAAAAAAAAAATGTTTTCTTTGAACTTCTTTCCAGATTTCAAGTATTAGTTGTCTTTATAACCCGGACTCAAAAAGAACCTGAGAGATTTCTAAAGCCCAGAGAGAAGAAGGGATGTGCTCAAGGTCACCAAGACACGGAACGAGTGTGAGCTCTGTCAGTGCAGAAGTCTGACTCCCTCTGTCCCCAGCACCTCGCACGGGGCCCAGCACACAGGAGCTGCTCAGCAACTATCTGTTGAATGAGTGAACGAATGAGCCACCACACGCAGGCTATTCTCTATTCTTTCACCAAATCCTAGCAAGAGAAACACTACCTTTAAATGTTTATGTGGATAAGATTAATCACCTACCCCTATGTTCCAGCAACCTCCTCTACAATCACCCCAATTCAGGGTGGGAGAGGGGAAACCAGCACAGGCTCTGGGGAGACAGAGGGTCATGACACGCTGGAGCTCCCCTGCCCCAGAGGTGTCCCGCATAGTCCAGCGGTTGCCTTGTGGCTGAGACAAAGCCTTTGATCTGGAGCCTCAGTGATAACGTGTTAGTGTGGGCGGCACACATGTATGTTTCATCTGAGCTGCACAGCAGCCCCATTTTTTCCAAAGGAAATTGAGTCTCAGAGAGGTTTCGTGACTTGATCAATATCACACAGCTAGTTAGTGCTGAAGCTGGATGCAAAGCGAGGTGCTTTGAATCGTGCGTTGATTATCTGTGGGAGGGTCTGAAGGGAAGGAGACAGGGCCCTGCTCTCAAGTGTAGTAGAGGAGCCAGGTAAGGAGCACACCGTACAAGAAGACGGAGGGAGGGCCAAGAGCCAAGGAAACGTCAGGAGGGAGCAGGTAACTGCAGGGGTCGGGAGGGAGAAGAAAGGAGCCACTGAGCTGGGCTCTGAGGAATGAGGGGCAGGGAATGCCCCTCCCCCACGCAGGGAAGAAGGAAGGGAGGACATGCCTAGGAGATGAGGTTTATTCAGGAGGGGATGAGCCCTTCCATCCCTACAAATGGTAGATGCAGTTAAGGAGGAAGAACGAGGGGAAAACCCATCCCTGAAGGATAGACAGGGCTCCAATGCTGTGTCACAGGACACTGGCCTTCCAGGCAACCCAAGGGTGAAGGGTTTGCAGGAGGAGAGGTTCTATCTTCTGAATGATAAGAGCACCTATTTCTTCTTTAGACCAGAGGTCACCTGGGCCGTAAGACAGCTTTCCTGTCTCACGGGATGATTGTGAATACCTGACACCGACATTTCCCAAGGAAGTAGTGAGAGCACCTCCCAAATGCAGTAAAAGCCACCCGGGAGAAAACGGCAGCCTCTTCCCACCCTCCCTGTACGCAGCTAGTCGACGACTGGCAAGGGCTCTGCCAGATTACAGCCTGGTCTTCCTTCCTTGTGTGACATCAGTACCAATGCCATTTATCCCAAAAATCAATGTGGAGGTTGAGAAGGAGTCACTTGACTTTCATGACTAGGATTAAATCCTATAACCAGCGGATCTGCTGGGATGTGTACATTCTTTTAAAAATCAACAGATGGTCTATGATTCCTTAAGGAGTGGTGACCGGAAATCAACCTTGCACAGCCTGTGGAGTGGAAGTGTTCAACGTTCATGGCCCAGAGGAACACTAGGTGAGCACCACCCATCACCCACCTGCCTTCCAGAGCTCAGCTCACCTCATTCAGGAAAGAGGAGAAGCCTTTGTGATAGGTGTGGCATCTTTCCGTCCACTTATTTGTCTTACTGCTGTAGCCCCAGCACCTAAACACCTAGCGCAGAATAGACATTCAAAAAATATGTAGCAATGAATGAATCTGATATGGACATAATTCAGCCACTGGAGTCATAACCTAGAGAAGATGCTTCCTTTCAACAACCAAAACCCTAAATTCCAAAGGAGTGTGCCAACCACGAATCCTACTTTATTGTCTCCTGGGCGCCCCCTGGAGGGAACAGCAAAGAACATGAAGAACTAGAATGCATCTGATTCGCCCTGTTATGTCAGAACTGCAGAGCCAGGAGGGCCAGCCTGCAGACCTTAAGTCTCAGTCTCTCATTGTACAGAGGGTGAAACTAAACTCCAGAGGCGGGGCTGACCTGCCCTAGGGTGCACATTCAGGTCCCCTGGCTCCCGGGCTAGCCAGAACTTTTCCCAACACCTGTATAGTCCAGAGGCCCTCGGAGGGAGGATGAGATGGGTGGGGCCAACAGGACGGCTGTGACAGAATATGTCCTGCTGGGACTACTTGGCCACCATAACCTAGAGGTGGCCCTGTTGGTGCTTTGCCTGGGCATCTACTGCATGAATATGCTGGGCAACAGCCTCCTCATAGGGCTGAACGTGCTGGACCCCTGCCTACACAGCCCCATGTACTTCTTTCTGAGCAACCTCTCGCTCGTGGACATCTGTGGCACATCCTCCTTCGTGCCTTTCATGCTGGTCAACTTCCTGAAAGCCCAAAGGATCATCTCCTTCCCTGGCTGTGCTCTGCAGATGTACCTGACCCTGGCGCTAGGCTCCACCGAGTGCCTGCTCTTGGTGGTGATGGCGTATGACCGTTACGTGGCTATCTGCCAGCCACTTAGGTACGCAGAGCTCATGAGTGGGCAGACGTGTATACTGATGGTGGTGCTGAGCTGGGGGATAGGCTTTGCCAACTCACTGCTGCACTCCATCGTCACCTGGAGACTCCCCTTCTGTGGCCGCAATGTCATTAACCACTTCTTCTGTGAGATCTTGGCAGTGTTGCAACTGGCTTGTGGGGACATCTCTTTCAATGCGCTGCTTTTAATGGTGGCCACAACTGTCCTGTCAATGACCCCGTTCCTGCTCATCTGTCTGTCCTACATCTTCATCCTTGCTGCTATCCTCAGGGTGCCCTCTGCTGCAGGCCGGCGCAAAGCCTTCTCCACCTGCTCTGCCCACGTGACAGTTGTGGTGGTTTTCTATGGGACGATCTCCTTCATGTACTTCAAGCCCAAGGCCAAGGACCCTGACCTGGATAAGATTATTGCATTGTTCTATGGGGTCGTGACCCCCTCGCTCAACCCCATCATCTACAGCCTGAGAAACGCAGAGGTAAAAGCTGCTACCATAGCTCTGCTCGGGGGAGATCTGCTCTCCAGGAAAATGTCCTGCTTTTCCTGTTGCTCTACGACTGCATCCGGCAGGATAGGCTAGGTTACACTGTGGTAATAACTTCAAATTATCAGTGTCTTAAAACCACAAAGGGTTCTGGCTGGTCAGGCTCAGTGGTTGAGTGCTGGCCTGCGAATCAAGGGGTTGCGGTTCGATTTCCAGCCTAGGACCCATGCATGGGTTGTGGGCCAGGTCCCTGGTGGGGGGGTGAGCAGGGTGTGAGAGGCAACCACCATTGATGTTTCTCTCCCTCTCTTTCTCCCTCCCTTTCTCTCTCAAAAGCATAAATAAATGAAACCTTTATTTAAAAACCCACAAAGTTTACTTCTCACTCCTGCTACAGCTCCATTAGAGATTGGCCAGGGGGTCTGCTCCCCTCCGGGATTCAGGATAATGAAGCAGCTGCTGGAGCACGGCTGGTCACCATGACCAAAGGAAGAGAGAAGATGACAAGGCCTGCACTGACCCTCCAAGCTCCCACTCAGGAGCAGCACGTCACTTCCACTTACATTTTATGGCCCCATACAAGAATATGGCCACAGTGAACATCCGGGGTGCAGGGGGGGAGCCCACCTACCCCGTGTCTGGAGGGAGAGGGAAAGCTGAGAAAGCTGTGAATATTGATGATGGTCACACCATCCTACAGAGAGTGGCCTTCCTTTTCTCTGGCCACCCATCCTTCACTGGCTGATGCCAGGTCAATCATCCCGGGAAAGCTCTCATTAGCTCACTCGTAGTGGCTTTGCCTTGGGTCAAACAAGGTGGAACTGTGCCTTTCAGAAAGTCCTTCCCTATATGGCTCTGGGTTAGAATGGGCCACAAGGAAAATTTGCATGAGATTCAGAAGGCAAAACTGAAGCAGCCACAGACGCTGCAGGAGCACTCACGTGCTGTCGCCCCACCGGGACTCAACTTATTGTTAGTGCAGCCCCTCCAGGTCCCACCAGATCACCTCCTTGGACTGTTCTGAGTCTTGTGCCGAGTGCAGCTCCATGGCAAAGAGTGCCAGCTTCGACTGGGCAGGTCACCCGTGTCACTGAGATTGAAGGGAGTGAGAGCCAGACACAGGTTCCAGTTTGTCCTCCTGGGTGCTAGTGTGTCCCTACCCCCAGTTCATTCTCGCTAGCCCAGGTGCCCACAGCGACTTCAGCTCCAACACTATGCAGAGGTAGCAGCTTTGCATAAACTCCTCCAGTTGCTCACACAATTGCATAAGTTCCTTTGATGAGGGACTCAAATGTTGGAAAAATTTTAGTTTAAGTAATAGCTAATAAGCTTAGTAATCAATGAACATAAAAAGCTATTGTTCCAGGAACTGAAGGTATGACCCACCCTGACTCCAGAAGCCCACACCTAAGCAGTTCCACCTTTGTGCCCCTGGAGGACTGCCAGCGATCAAGATGGTCTCTGAGCCCTTGTGCTCCAGGGGCAGGCGCCCACCACTCAGGGCACAGATGAAAGAATGCTGCAGCTTTCATCTGATTAACTTTTTCCCTGAATTCCAAACCCCGTACCTCTGCTTTTCTTCTCCTTATAAAAAGGGTCGGTTTAAAATGGAATTTAAGAGGGTCTGTTAGGGTACAAACCCGCCATCTTCTCAGATCGCCAACCATTTGAATAAAGCGCCCATAAAGATTCAGTCCGTCTCTGCTTATTGGGTCTGGCAGGTGACAGCATGAATGCTGGCTTTTTCCAGTTTCACCTTCTCCATAACAAATCCCTGTATCGCTCAGCATGGTCTGCTACTTAGATCAAACCCTGATTCATCCTTCTCCTCATCCAGAACCTCTGATGGCTCCCCATTGCCATGGCAGTGAGTCCAAATCCTCCAGCTGAGTTTCCCGCCTTCTGGAATCCAGACACCCCTCCCACCACCACCACACCCTCAGCCTGATGTTCCACTAACCCCTTCACACGACCACCCCGCACGACATTACCTGCACCGCCCGCACCACCAGCCCCCCTCAATGCTGCTCTCTGGTAAGACCAGGACTGTCTCATCACGCACGCTCTCCTGATGTGGTTTAAAAGTGTTCTCTTTCCTTTTCATCCTACAGCACTTGGTTGAAACGTTTTGCTCAGTATCTGCCCTATTCTGCTTCACATCCGTGATATTTCACCACACTGTGGGCTCTCTCTGAGGGCAGGGTGCCGCCAAGTCTGGTTCATCTCTGCAGCTCCCACAGGGCTTTCCCTGTAGAGGGTTTACTGAACTGAGCTGTCACTCAGAAGCCCTCAGATGTCACTCAGATGTCGCTGTCTGGGGATTGAGCTCTGTGCTGCTGAGCACTGTATAGACAGACACAAGCGAAGAGACACAGTGTCTTTGGCCAAAGCCCTGAATTCCCAGAAGGCTGTGGGTGCTGGCATCTTGGGCTCCCTGCCTACTGAGACAAGTCAGGAGACAACCCAGGACTGCTTCTGGGGACCAGGAGACCAATCTCCACACCTGGTCCAGCTGCTCTGCCCAGCATGCCGGCCCTTTGCCCGCAGGAACCCCACATGCACCTCAAACTCGAATTATCCAAAACTTAACTCATCATTCTGCCCCCCAAAGTTGTGTCCCCAGCTCAGGGAACGGCACCATCACCCTCCAGCCACCCCGCCAGAAACATGGCAGTCACAGACTCTCTCTCGTCCCTCACCCTCCACACATCCAGTCAGGCACAAAGTCCTATAGAATCCACCTCATAACAGCTCTTAAATCAGTCCGCTCCTTCCCACGGTTACGGCCTTCAGGCTTCCCCATCCATGTCTCAGATATTGCAACTCTGGTGTCACTGCACATTTGTCCTCCAGACTCCCCCAAACCCATCTCTGCACTAGCCATCAAGATCCCAATCTCTAGAGTGCCCTCGGCAGTCCTGGGACCCGTCTCCTGCTTCCACAGGGTTCGGATGGAACAGACGTGGGGACGGCCCTTCTTTCCAGCTACCTTTCAACCTCTTTTCCAGTCACCACTTTCTAAACCACCTCAGCTTCCTCAGCTTCCAAGACCAGCCGGCACCATCCTTTGGACCTTAATTCTTCATCGCCGAACAACCATGAGCTCCCAAATCATCAGAATTATTCCATCGAGGTGGAGGCAGCGGTCAACCGCCCGGCTAACCTGCATCCGCCGGCCTCCTACACCCAGCTGGGCTCCTGGGCTCCTGTTTCAACCAGGGCGATGTGGCTCTGCAGGGGGCGGGCCACTTCTTCTGGGAGTTGGTGGAAGAGAAGCGTGAAGGCTCTGAGCATCTGTCTTTTAAAGATGCAGAACCAGCATAGTGGCCGCATCCTTCTCCAGGATGTGGCGAAGCCTTCCCAAGATCAGAGGGGTAAAACTCAGGACACTATGGAAGCACCCTTGGCCTTGGAGAAGCAGCAGAACCAGGCCCTTTGGAATCTGCATGCCCTGTCTTCTGCCCGCACAGACCCTAACCTCTGTGACTTCCTGGGGAGCCATCTCCTGGGTGAGGAGGTGAGACTCATCAAGAAGATGGGCGACCACCTGACTAGAGCTCCCCAGGCTGGGATGGACGGGTAGCTCTTCGAAAGGCTCACCCTCAAGCAGAACTAGGAAGCCTTTGGAGCCCGGAGGCCTTTGAGGGGCCCCTCTCTCTGTATTTCCCTGGTGTCTGGCTTTTGCCTGAGCCTCTCCCTGAAACCCCACCCTGGAACGCTCTCCCATGCATTGAACCAAATGGAAACAATACAGCTTTTTGAAAAAATAATCTATAAAGACAAAACACCAATCTGTTGATGCTACTCTCCTACTTAAATCCCTCCAATGGCACGTTTCCCACAGGGTAGAAACCAGACCCCACCTATCCACCCAACCTCATTACTGGCTGCTTGCCCCCACCCCTGTTCCACCCACACTCTATCGGCCAGCCCAGGGACACTGAATTACTCCCAGTTCCCCAATAACTATCAGTCTTTCCTACCTCTCTGTCTCCCCAGTGCAGTTCCCTCTCATGCCCAAACTTTTTTTTTTTTTAGAGACAGAGTAAAGATTTTATTCACTCTCCAAGAAAGGAGAGGGGCTTAGTGTGGAGGGATACACCAGCACTGAGGGGTGGGGGCTTTGAGTTATTATTGGATTATAACTGGATTAGGAAAGGGTTGGGGGGTTGCTGTTGTGTGGCCTGTGAACTGCTGGGGCAGTGACAGGAGGCTGCTGTTTGCTTCAATGTTATCTTCTGCCTGTGGCTGTAGGGAGCTGTTCTGTTCTTGCTTTCTAGTAATTTCCAGTCAAGTCATTCTAGGGAAATAAGCAAGTTTTCTTATATCGATCACTGGACATGAAGGTGGGTGAGGAGGAGCCTGTCCACAGTCTGGAGAGATGGAGGATTCGAATGCTCTCTCTGAACCCCACAGAGACGGGGTTAGGAGGTTAGCCTGGGTCAAGCTTTCCACTGCCCCCTGCTTCCCTAGTCACAAGCCTCCGGAGGCCAGAGGAGAGGGAGAAGTAGAGAAGGTCCCCGTATGGGCCACCAACATGTTAGGGTGGTTGGTGATGCAGGCTGTGGAAGAATTCACAAGGAGAAGAAAGTGTAGATAGTAAAGTTTTTATTCACTTTCCAAGAGAGGAGAGGGGCACGGTGTGGAGAGACACACCAGCCCCAAACACTGCTTGACCTTTAGCTAACATACTGGACACATCACGTACCAGGCTGGGCACTGTACTGTGTCCTAGTGCCTTCCTGGCTGGGGACCAGGTGGAATGATGAAAATCTCAGGGAAAGGATACAATATAGACACCAGGGACCAGAGTGAACACTCTCCCAACATCTTGGCATATGAAAACTCATTCAATCCTCATCCACACACTCCCCTTCCAGAAAGCCCCTCCAGACCCATCCTAGCTGGCGAGGGGAGCGGGGCATGTCTGTCCCAGCTCTCTCTCCCTCTTCAGTGCCATCTGTATTCTGTTGACTCTGTCCTGAATCCCAGCTATTTGGGTTCACGGGTCCTGGTGACCTGACTCTACACATCTTAATGTGATAGAACAACATTCCTGATACAGGAACAGATACTTAGCTCACACCTCTCACTCC